AGAACACAACACAACACACAGGCCCTGCTCCAGAGGCTTCTACTAGTCCAACTACGACACCAGGGCATCTCTCAATATTGGGGATATGCAGCGGCCCACCAGAAAAAATAATATTTAAGACTTCATAGTGCTCTATGAATGAAAAACAGCCTTCAGAATAGGCCTGTTCCAGGTGGGGGAAACCGAGGCAAAGATATTTAACATCTTACTCAAGACAACCAAAGAGCACTTGGTGATTCTTGGCTTCCAGTCTTGGGCAAGTTCTCAGAGCTTATTTAGAAATCCTCCAGTGAACTCTTATTACTACCACCAAATATATAAAAAACAGCATTTATTAAACCACCGTACAAGCAGACTGGTTGAACGAACAATGTATCCTCACCCGTCGATCTATTGGTGCCAATCCCATATAACCTTCTAGTTTTCTTTTTTCAGAGCTCTGATTGGGATCATCACAATCATATTCTACTTCCGGCTTGGACAAGTCCCGACAGAATGTGCAAATCCACTCTCCTCTAAACAAGGGGGAAAACAGATGCATTACTCTGGGCACCTGATCAAGTTACATGGTCTTGAATAGAGGGTTTCCAAATACTTTTGGACAAGTTGTTCATTTCTATTTTCTTTTTGCCCTGTGTCAATTTTTTTGCACCACCAAAAGGAGGGATAAGGATAGTAAAGGGACATCTCTTTGGAAGAAAAACTCACTCATTCCTGGATTTAATTTTTTGGAATAGTTTTACATTAAAAATAGCATCTATTTCCACTAGTTTTGAAACCATTCCTATGGGTTTACAAATTAAATTCAAATTTTAATAGTAGGTGCAGTTGCTGGTTAGGAGGCAATCTGAAGAAAAACATATAAGAGGAAATGAGAAAAACAATTAAAATTTAGGGATGAAAAATGGAACAGTATAGGCAGAGTGCAAAACAAGTTCAGAAATACCATGAAAATAGAGCAACGGAGAGGTTGGGACCTGTGGGAAGTATATTTTCTCATTAGAAGTTAGCCTGTAGGCTAGTTTTTCTATTCTTAACAAAATAACGTCTCAGCTTTTTTTTTAATCTCAGTTATTCTTGGGGGGAAACTCTAAATTGCAGGAGAATAATGGTTCACAAACTACTTTTGCTAACTGCCCTTCTCCCCCTTATCATTAATGATGCCCTCAAATCCTTGAGCAAACCTAATGCATGTGGTTTAGTAAAATTCTTTACAGAGACACCTGAATCTTCATGAATAACCACAATACAGCTGAATTGTATTGACTTGCTTACAAGAATGAATAAAGACAGAATTCAGCTACGATTGATTATGAAAAGTACAGTATTAACATGCATGTGTTGTACCACATATCTGATCTAATAATATAAACATGACCTTTGGCATTGGGGTTAGTTTCAGGAGCAAGTTAAAATTACTTTTGACAGTGAAAACTGTTAAAGCCTACAGCAGAACTACAAGTCCTCCGTAAGACAGACACACATTCTATTAGGATAATTAAAAGTTTTCTAGTTTCTCCTAGGCTAGCCTGAACCAAGCATTTTGAGATCTGTGAAGGGTCCTGGCCAGAGTGTCTGGTTAGCCACGCTGGAAAAGAGACTTTGTGAACAAGACAGTCTAATTTGTTAAATAAGGTTTTAGCCTTAAAAGCATATGTTTACCTTCATTTGCTTGCAACCCTTCTACTTTTATTCCTTACACTGGGTATCACTTAACCCTATGGTCTTTTGTTAAATACACTTGTTTTACTTTTACTATAAGCCAATTTAGCGCTCTGTTTGAAGGGAAGGGTGTGTTAACCCCAGTTAAGCTATCTGCCTGCAGTACACTGTCTCTTTAAAGGAGCAACAAACTTAACAACTTCTCTAAGTATTCAGTGAGAGGGCGACAATGTAGGGCAGTGGCTCTCAACGTATTTACGATTGTGGGCCATATACGTGACCCACAATGTATTATGTGGCCTGCATCCAATACTACTCATATGGCCCTAAGGATGTCACATGGGCCACAGCTGTGTGTTGACTAAGCTGCAAGTGGCCCACGGGCTGCAAGTTGAGAACCACTGCTGTACGGAGACATCTCTGGGCAAGTTGGGGTTCACTCTCTTACCCACAAGGCAAGGTTTAGACAGCAGAGTCCTGAAGAGTTTGCTGGCAAGGCAGAGAAGCTTGTGTGTCAGGGAGCTGTCACACAGCTTACCAGCAGCAAAACTCACTTGGTGAGGCTAAGATGGGTAACACAGTAACTCACAATTCTTTTTGCGGATACAGACTAACACGGCTGCTACTCTGAAACCTCACAATTCTCTGAATCCTAGCAGCTTTTCACACATATTTAGCCATGAAAAGAGTACATTAGGGACTTGGTATGACAGCAGTTTTGGTGGAGTGAAGAGAACAGATATCAGGTGGAAAGCGATTCAAGATGGAGTACAAGGAGAGCAATTCAAGGCAATGGCTGTAACAGCATGTTCAGAGTGAAGGGCTGCAAGTAGAAGAGGCAGATGGAGTCCAGGGCAACTATTTTGAAGGGAATGGGCCAGAAGACAGTAAGGAGCAAAAGGGGTGAAAGGGGGACTGAGGGAAGGTTGACAGGTGGGATGGGGCTGAGGGGCAGGTTAAGAGATGGAGTTAAAGGGTGAAATCTCAGTATCTGTGATGGTGCTGCTCAGAGTTAAGAATACTGGCCACTAGTATTACTATGGACTTTACAGATTTGAGCACCACTTAGAAACTTATTTGTTTGCTCTTTGCCCCACTGAATAAGCTCAGCAAAAGCCACAGCCAAAGAAAAGTTGAAACTTTAGGAAGGTATTTCTGAAATGTTCAGAAAACCCAATAACTGTACAATGTGACATGAAAACAGTGATATTTTCCTTTACACGTTTAACTAATAAAAAACAGTTTGCTATCCATCATATTCATACAGTCTTTGCTTATGCACTGAGGAAACAAAATTGTAGAAAGTTTTTATGGTAAGCAAAATAACAGCGCTGTATTTAAAGGAAGACAGCCCCATGGTTTGGAGATTCAAAAGGCACACAGTCGATGTGCATAGACTAAGTACAGTACTTGAATATAATTGGTATTTCAAAGCTTGATGTGCTACTAGCAATTGTTCTCCTCAAAGCATGTAAGCAGAGCTGAACAGTGTAAGAAACTGTAAACTAAACCAGTATTTAACATTTATATGAAATCATTGAACACTGACCATCTTATGGTAAACATAGCTGTATCCTTGTTCAATATTAGCTTAAGTCTTTTATCCAGTGCTCCTATACCAGAGTGTCACAAAATGTCATTTTTACTTTGGCAAAGTAGCTGACACGGTAGTAAGCTTTAGAAATACTAAGGATAAGTATCTATTTTCAAACAACATTTATACGTAATAGAAAAATGGATTTTTAACTTTCTGATGGTTCCAACTGGGCTGAGCAAATTGCATAGTTGCCTTCCCACAAACCAATCAAGGCCTATAAAGATTAGTCTTCTTTCTTCTCAGCACTGACTGAGGTAGTTTTTAAAATATTATCAGCAGACAGCAAGCACTGTGCCCTATGGCTGACATGGCTCCTGTTTAATACTATCAGTAGAGCTTTTTCTTTAAAAGAATTTTAAAAAACGGTTTCTGTTGTCCTTAAAGGATTCTGTTTAGAATGGTGATTCTTTGGCCCAATTTTGTGGCTACAGATATTAGATGGCCCAGATATAAGCGATCTTTCCAAGAAACTGCAGCATTTTACAATAGCTTTTGCAGCAGCAATAATAGTTCAGGTTACACAACTCAAATTTAGTTAATTCCTGGATTTCACCAACTCAACTTTCTTAGGGCTTGTTTACACACACACAGCGCTGTGGGGTGCAGCTGCACTGATGCAGCGGCACCGCTGAAGTGTGTCTGGTGAAGATGCTGTATGCCAATAGGAAAGAGCTCTGTCATCGGCATAATAAAACCACCTCTGTGAGAGAAGGTAGCTATGTTGGCGGGAGAAGCTCTCCCATCAACATAGTGCTGTCCACACCGATGCTTATGTTGGTGTAACTTGCGTTGCTCAGGGAGGTGGTTTAATCACCTCCCTGAGCGACATGAATTATGCCAACATAAGCTGTAGTATAGAGATAGCCTTAGAGTTGTCTTTTGGGGCAGAAACTCCTGTACTTGGCCTCACAACCCAAAAGTGATTTCTTTTGAGCAAAGTTTGGACAAAATTCATTTGGTCATTTTTACCTTGGAAAGTTCATTAGTGAAGGGACGTGACAAGAAAGGTGGAACACTTTAGGGCATTTCTCACAACACAGGAGCTCTCCTCCATTCTGACACACTGCACACCAGTCCTCATTGGGGTCATCCTCTTTTCTGCTGTCTCCAATGTGAGGGGTACCCATCCATGCTGTCGTCCCACTGGATGTGTTCTCCTGAAGTATCCCTGGTCGGTCACCTGTGCTATCTGGAGCATCTGTTCTTAAGACTGTTTTGTCAGAAGTGGTATTATGACGGCTATCCAATAGCAGAGAGGTGAGTATGCTTCTTGAAAAGTTGGTCTGTAGGAAAACGCAAAGATATATCTAGATGCCAGGCTGTCAGGTATAATTATCAACACAAACACATTGAAAATAAACACATTACTATTTCATGTGTATTGTTAGTCATGCTCCTTAGAACCTCTACACAGGAGTTATCACTGTTATGGCTTCAGCCAATTTAATACAGCAAACTAGTATAACAGTACCCAAGTAGGTTAGCTCTGACATTTAAGAAACGGCTTCCAATAGAAAAATATAATAATCTTCCAGTAGCAAATAGGTCTAGCACTCCTAAAGTTGAGCATATGCATTAGTAATAGCAAAATCTCCAAACACCATGTGAAAGAACTTACAGTATTTATACGCTTCCCCCCCATCTCCCAAGTCCCCGCAGACTATGGCAGTCTGATAATGTCAGTTATTCAGTCATCCCAGTTTACTAAGAAATATAACCTGGTTTGGAATCTCACTTCATCCCTTAAAAAACAAAAACAAAAAACCCCAAAACACACCCACTAATACATGAGGTACTTCCCTTAAAAGTTAACACCTACGAGTAATGCTCTATCAGAATATTTGTAATTTATTCTATTTCCAATAAATGCAAAACACCCTCCCCATAACCCAAACTCAGAAGAGATTCTTTATTATTGTTATTACATTCCGAGGCCGGGATTCTTCATCTGTTTCTTGCTTCACTATAACAATTGGGAAATCATAGTTCTCATGGGATGTACCAGACTCCTGTTTAATCCTGATTGGCTCCAACATGACAACAGGGACTCTGTGTGTAGAATCAGCTCCTGGTGGCCTGCTGGAGGAGCCAGAGCTACAGAGGATGAGAAGAGGCAGAAAGAAGAAAAATGAAGAACAGTGAGTTGTTGGACGTCATCTGCACCATTCAAGAGAGCACAGTGCTTTCAGAAAAATCATACCTCTTGTAGTGATTAAGAATCACGTCCCTGGAATACTACAGTATTTTCCATTCTCTACATTTTGAGGCTACAGCATTACCCACCATAGAACAAAATCTGAGATTTAGAGTTCATACCTTTCTTCAGGATTTTTAAAATAGGATAATAAAAGGGCGTGGGGACGGAGAATGATCTAATCCAAGGACTGCAGAACTGCTCAGAGTTTTATTTTCTATAGGTCAGAAGCTTGGAATACAGCATTTTTTTTTTTGTTTGGTCCCACGGTGAATGCACTTATCTCATTAAACTCCACCCAATACAAATTTTAACAAAACCTTAAAAATAGCAGTATTTTGGGAAGTTTTTGAAAGGAGAACAGTTACATTTTTGGAGAAATGTAAGTGTCATTCCAGCAATGTCCACTCAAACACCACACACTGGACTATATCCAGTCAGGGGAAGCACATCTATGTAGGACTTTCCTAGTAGAGCAGCAGGTGACTTTATGTGATGGTCCTTCCCTCAGAATCAGGTTCCATGTCACTGCTTTTGTGCATAATCATAACAAAAAGAGAAAGGACAGCTTAACCTTAAGTTACGATGGAATTTCAATTTAATTCAAAACATAGGAGACTGCACCCAAAAGGAGAGGTTACTTACTGTATACAGTAACTGGAATTCTTTGAGATGTTTTGTCACTATGGATGCTCCACACAAGGATGTGCATGAGCCCATGCACTCATGATCAGAAATTTTTCAGTTAGCAATGGCCACGGGTCTGCACCTGGGCTGTATGCCTCCTCGTGCCCCAGTATGACAGCCTATAGGGAGGAGCGGACCCATGCTACTCCAGTTCCTTCTCCACTTTTGAGCATGGTAGGACTCCAATGCAGAGGGGAAAGGAGAGTGGATGATGGAGCACCCATAGGGACCTAGCACCTTGAAGAATTCCAGGTCCTGCCCAAAATAAGTAAACTTTCCTTCTTTGAGTTATTGTCCCTATGGGTGCTCCACGTGAAGAGACTCCCAAGCAGTACCTCAGTATGGAAGAGAGGCTGCTAAGGAGGTGGACTCAGTACAGTGTAGAACGGCTTCAAAGGCCATGTTAACTCTGGAGGCAGATACTAAAGCATATTGTATTATTTAGATAGAATATATGGACCAAAAGTGTTAACATAACCCAATCACTGTCCAACTTTAAACAATTGTAAACAGTGTTGGAGGTTTCTGCTGTTAAAGTCTGATCCCATTCCCTAAAAGAATGAACAGGACAAGCACACAATAGGGGAGAGAAAAGAACAGCAAAAATAAAAAAAATGCAGGTTCTGTCTCTGGAGTTGACTCTTACTTGCATCCTCGCTGCTGGAAAAAACATAGGTACAGCACAGTCTTATCAGCTACTTCAGACTGGCAAACTTGTACCAGCAATGAGATGTTTAGGACATTTAGCTTCCTCTTTCTGGTTGTAGGCTTATGGCAGTGTTGCAAAATAAACAGGCCTGGTGAGCTAAGCCAGGCCCTTAGACAGAAAGAAAAAGGAGAGAGAAAAAAGAAATAAGACAGGGAAGGAAAAGTATATGTGGGGGTAGGAGACAATGTCTCACATTCCAGGTGGTGATTGGGATTCAGACGGACCTGGTGGCGCGCTGAGGTCATCTGGCTCCCTCTCTGTGTCCTGGTCTGGTCAGGATAATGAAGGCCCAGAGTTCCAAGAGAAGGTGGGGGTGGCAGCTAGATGGTGAAGCTTGCTCCAGTAGCCAATTTTTCTACCAAAGTTTCTTTAAGGACCCCAGAAGGGAAGTATGGATAGATAGTGTTCCACATTTTCAGTTTTTACCAATTTTCAGCAATAAAGTACCAGTTATTTTAATTAAAGGAGTTCAGATTTTACTGATATAGACCCATTTATCAATCCACTCAATTTTTAGGGGGATACTTATCTTTGTTAAACACTAATTTTTATCTGATTATTGTGTCCTGAAGCTCTGAGACTGAAGCAGATCCACAGTATAAAACACAGAACACACGCGGCAAAGGTTGGAAATTAAAATTGGCTCACAAAGAAATGCTGCCCACTTATTTCTTCGTGTCCATTTTAGTGTGGCACTGAATTTAAACGATCAATCCTCCACAGATAAAAACAGAGAAGGTAAAAAAAGATAAACATGGGGCCAAAACGCAAATCTATGCCTGAATATAGAAAGAAAATCAGTGCTTAGAAATTTGCAAGAAAAGTAAAGATGGGAGTGAAGAGGATGCATTGCGCTGCAAGTACTGCAGCATTGAGGTCAAGGTCAATGCTCACGCTGACAGAATAAAGAAGCATGTCAAAAGCAAGTGACACAAGTAGCTTAAAGAAGAAAGTGACCTTTGGGATAAACAGTCAATATCTGGAGCTTTCACCAGGGCTTTAATGAAAGAGGACACAGCATGATCGTGTGCATGCTCTGTTTTGCTGGATAACCCCTGTTAATTGCAGAAGGGTCTACTGGTGACTTAGTGTAACAATACTGTCCAGCAGCAAAAACCCTTCCTAATGCAGACAACCTCACTTGTAAGTATCTGAAAGAAAATGATGCTTTAGGAACAGGAGTACTTGTGGCACCTTAGAGACTAACAAATTTATTTGAGCTCATGATACTTTAGTATCTAAACTGATGGAATGAATTGATAGAAATATGGTGTCTGGTCTGATTTTTGACAAGTCTCCTGATGCTTTGGACCGTCCGATTCTTGACCTTCTGTTTTTTATTTCAAAGCGAATAAATCCACATCATTTTGTGCTGATGGGACATTCATCCCTCCTGCTGACAGCCACTTTGTTGATGCAGCAATAACTGACATGTTTGACATGTACCAACTGACTTGGGAAAACATGGTCACAACAAACAGATTCTGCTTCCTACATGGCTAAGTTTGCATGGGAGACCAAACTCAACCAGAAACCCCGCCGCGACAGGTCTGGGGTTGGGGGAGAGGCATCTCTCACTGCTGCAGCCCTGAGCCCCTGTGTGGGGCTTAATAGGCAGTTACGCAGCCGCACAGCTTAGAGGGAACTTGGACCACAACCTCCAAATCTTTCAGTGTTATGCCTCCCCAGAATAGCATTCCCCATCCTATAAGTACAGAATGACATTTTTTGTTCCTAGATGTATACATTTATATTTAGCCATATTAAAAACACATTGTTTGCTTGCATCCAGTTTACCAAGAAATTCAAATTCCTCTGAATCAGCAACCTGTCCTCTTCACAAATTATCCACCTCTTCAATTATAGAGCCATCTGCAAACTTTATCAGTGATGATTTTATGTTTTCTTCCACACCATTGATAAAATTGTTAAATAGCATTGTACCAAGAACTGATCCCTGTGGAACCCCACTGCAAACACATCCGCTCAGTGATGATTCTCCATTTACAATTACATTCAGACTTATCAATTAGTCCGTTTTTAATCCAGTTAATGTGTGCCATGTTAAGTTTATATTGTTCTAGTTTTTTAATCAAAATCTCATGGTTGTAGAATGTGCGAAGACTTAAGCCTTGTCTTCACTACAGGGGAAATTCTATCTAAGCTACGCAATTTGAGTTACCTGAATAGCGTCACTCAAATCGACATAGCTTAGATCTACTTACCGTGGGGTCCGCACTACGCAATGTTGTCGACTCCCTCCACTCTTCTCGATCCGGTGGAGTACAGGAGTCAACAGGAGAGCGATCTGCAGTCGATATAGCAGGTCTTCACTAGACAAGCACTGAGAATCCTTCATTTGGCAAGTGGAATGCTGTGACAGCAGCTAAGTGACCATTGACAGAGTTCTGGGACAAACCCAGCAGGTTTTAGATTCCGACGGGAATAGAGAATGAACATAAGGGAAGATTTGGCAGGAGATATGGGGTTTTGGGTGCATCAAATCTGGCAATATTTCCACTTCTGCAGGTACCAATGATAGGCCTGCTCACTCTGGATATGCCCAGTGATGTCAGACTGTGCCAGGAGAGATGGTTTCTTCAAAGACTCCATATTGTTTGAGGCGTTCCTCCATTTGGGGGAGTCCAACAACAGTACTAACATCTCAGCACCATGCCCAGTGGGAGACTCAGTGATACCTACACTGGGACATGAGGTCTCCCTAATCCCAAATCCAAGTGAAGACTTTTCTCTCTCCTCTTAGTCTATCAGGGGAGTGGGGTCTCTTATGTTTGGCAGTCTTCTGAGAGACCAAATGCAGCCCCTGGTTTCTGGAATTCAGAGCCAGAGCAGATGAAGTCTCTGGAGTACTCTGTGTGGCTGAATCTGATGTACAGAATGGGAAGTTGGATCCCACAAGTCTAAGAGAGCGCTCCATGAGGAGCAGTTTTAAACTGTCTTACCTCAGTTTACAAGATCTGCTCTTGAATCCTGCATTTGGACAGGATCTGGGCTTCTGCAAGGGAGTGGAGGCAGCTAGCATTTCCATCACTGAGGGGGAAGGACCTGTGACAGGTCTAGCAAGGCGTGAATCCTAGGGCCTTCTGGCATAACCTGCTAAGCAAGCCATGGTCAAGAAGGCCTGAGGAAAAAAGGAAGGATCTGACCTTGAAGAAAATAGGAGGGGTGTGGCACAGGAAGGGGAGGGACACAATAGAAACACAAACCCTGCTAAGAACTAAAAACTTAAATAAGCTACTAAGAAAAGATTAAAAAAATATTATAAAGAAGCAACTGCCTCAGCTAGATAGCAGACACTACATAACTCCGTGTTGAGCTATGGGCAACTGAGAAGGTATTGGAGTGGTGCAGGTCTGCTCCTTCCTACATGCCCTCATACCCGAGTATGTAGAGGCATACTATAAAGATACTGCAGATACTGCTAACAGAAAAGTCTCTGGTTAAGCGTGTACGGGGGCATGCACATCACGTGGAGCTCCTACAGGGACAATCATTTGAATTAAACTTATTTATTTTGTGTGAGTAGATTTTGCAGACATCTAATGTATTTCAAAATTTATGTATAAATAAAACTTTTAACTTGGACATCATAAGAAGATACAGCACCTTCATGACTTTTACTATATAAATAAAAGAACAAGAAATATTCTGTTAAAAGTATCTGAATTTCCACTTCCAGTAGCATGAACACATTCTCTGCTTTTTCTCAACATGAAAACTTAACTCTGTATTAATTTTATGCCCTGATTTATTGGAACACATTAACAGACCTGCTCTTCAAACAGCATTGTTTAACTATTTGTTCATGAATATTCCATCATTTCTAGGGCTGTCAAGCAATTAAAAAAATTAATTACGATTAATCACACTGTTAAACAATAATAGAATACCATTTATTTAAATATTTTTGTATGTTTTCTACATTTTAAAATATATTGATTTCAATTACAATACAGAATACAAAGTGTACAGTGCTCACTTTATTTATTACAAGTATTTTCACTGTAAAAAAAACAATAGTATTTTTCAATTCACCCAATACAAGTACTGTAGTGCAATCTCTATCATGAAAGTTGAATTTACAAATGTAGAATTATGTACAAAAAAAACTGCATTCAAAAATAAAACAATGTAAAATGTTAGCGCCTGCAAGTCCACTCAGTCCTACTTCTTGTTCAGCCAATCACTCAGACAAACAAGTTTGTTTATATTTGCAGGAGATAATGCTGCCTGCTTCTTGTTTACAATGTCACCTGAAAGTGAGAACAGGCATTCCCATGGCACTGTTGTAGCCGGCACGACAAGATATTTACATGCCAGATGCGCTAGAGATTCATATGTCCCTTCATGCTTCAACCAGCATTACAGGGGACATGCGTCCATGCTGATGACAGGTTCTGCTTGATAACAATCCAAAGCAGTGCAAACCGATACATGTTCATTTTCATTATCTGAGTCAAGATGCCACCAGCAGAAGATTGATTTTCTTTTTTGGTGGTTCAGATTCTGTAGTTTCCTCATTGGAGTATCGCTCTTTTAAAACTTTTTAAAAGCATACTCCATACCTCATCTCAGATTTTGGAAGGCACTTCAGATTCTTAAACCTTGGGCTGAGTGCTGTAGCCATCTTTCGAAATCTCACATTGGTACCTTCTTTACGTTTTGTTAAATCTGCATTGAAAGTGTTCTTACAATGAACAAGGTGCTGGATCATCATCTGAGACTGCTATAACATGAAATATATGGCAGAATGCAGGTAAAACAGAGCAGGGGACATACAATTCTCCCCCAGGAAGTTCAATCACAAATTTAATTAACGCAATTTTTTTATTTTTTTATTTTTTTTTAAAACAAGTGTCATGAGCATGGAAGCATGTCTTCTGGAATGGTGGCGAAGCACAAAGGGGCATACGAATGTTTAGTATATCTGGCATGTAAATACTTTGCAATGCCAGCTACAAAAGTGCCATGCAAATGTCTGTTCTCACTTTTTGGTGACGCTGTAAGTAAGAAGAAGGCAACATTATCTCCTGTAAATTTAAACAAACTTGTTTGTCTTGGTGATTGGCAGAACAAGAAGTAGGACTGAGTGGATTTTTAGGCTCTGAAGTTTTACACTGTTTATGTTTTTAAGTGCAGTTAGGTAACAAACAAACAAAAAATCTACATTTGTAAGTTGCACTTTCAAGACAAAGATTGCACTATAGTACTTGTATGAGGTGAATTGAAAAATACTATTTCTTTGGTTTATAATTTTTACAGTGCAAATATCTGTAATAAAAATTATATACAAATTGATTTCAATTACAACTCAGAATACAATATGTATGAAAAATGTAGAAAAACATCCAAAATATTTAATACATTTCAACTGGTATTCTATTGTTTAACCGTGCAATTAAACTGCAATAACACTTAATTTTTTTTGAGTTAATCGCGTGAGTTAACTGCGATTAATCGCCCTAATCATTTCTTTATTTTTGTAGTCTCAAAATATCTAGTACTCACTTAACTGACTGTATTATGGTTAAAGCTTCTTATTTATAATCCTCTCTGTAAAGCTGATTCTTCAAATCTGAAGTTACTTATGGTTCAGTGAGGATTTTCTGGTCCAGAATTTAAAAAAAACAGTTGTATAACTGTCATGAACTTTACATCATTATTTACAGTACACGGTTATCAAAACATTTGATCAAGGTGTCAATCTCACAGCTACCATAAGTTTAACACATTACAAGTCTTTAATGTGCCATTAATAAATTAGACATGAAGAGTATTACAATAAAGCCATCAGAAATGGTCTCAGAGGAAGTGACATGGCAAACCTCGACATAGATTACTGGTGAAAGGTTCTGTCAACTGCAGTCGCATGCATATAGTGTCCTTTGAGATTGAAGCTATGTTTTTTTTCAACTGGTCTGCTTACCTGCCTCTGCTTCCAACACTGGAGGCACTGGGTGAGCGAATTGGAGGGTGGACACTGGTCATAGTTACTTGTCCTAAAAAGCAAAAAATTGGGGAGGGGGGGGGGAGGGAGGGGAAGAGAAACACAACCAGGTTTGTTCATACAAGAAATCTTGCATTTAAATTTTCTTACAGAGAAGAACAGAGATTTGTGTGTAAGTATTCATTTTGATCTATTGATATTGATTGTTCAGACCACCCTACACACTCTATTTGTAAAACAGACCAGAATAGGTTTCTTCCTCTCCCCTACTGTGACTTTGGTCATTCTTTACTCATTTAACCCAAGGCTAGAAAAGAAGGAGGCATCTTATCCTGCACATTTCCAATCCAGAGTATTTGTTCACTCTTTTTATTTAAAAAGTATTAGAGAAGGCAAAATAATGAAATTTAGAGAGAGTGAGTATGCACTTACTGACAGATGGAAAAACCACCACCTGCTAAGTGGAAAAAAAGAATGATTTCACTGCTATAGGTATGTTCATTGGAAAGATATGCTTCACAACAAGCAAATACATAGCTGTAATACAGGAATTTATAAAGTGCTAAAATAACTTTAGCTACTGGAACTAGGAAAGGAGTAACTGCAGAAAGTCTGACATTTTGTGATGTTCACAGCTTCTGCAATGTATTTGTGTTCTTTCAACCCACAACTAAACACTTCTCCATCTGATCTCACAATAGCAGAGTTCCCACTCTAACCACAACCTCATCTTCTTCAGCATCTTCCATCTGTCCTCTGCTCTTATACCTCTGACCTCCAATCCAACATCCATGACTTCAGCATACCTAGACCACTCTGCTGTAGGACTCAGCTATCAGTGGCTCAACTCAATTCTCTCCATCATACTGGACTCCTTCACCTGTCTCTCTCACAGTAAAATCCATTCCACTAACCCCAATTTCCTCTTCCTCCACTCATGAGCACCCCGAAGAAAGTCCCAGAGGCAAGAACTTCTTCCATTACAAACTTATTCTCCCCTCCTGCAATTTCCTCACCTTTCTCCTTAACCTCACAGTCCCATTAGGTACCTTTACCACACAATATAACACTAGGATATTCCTCATCCTAGATCCTACCTTGTACAACTACCACCTCATGTCCCTCTCCCTGACTTGGATCTTAACCCTCCCCACCACCACAACACAGGTTTCCAGTTTCCCCACTCTACTGTAATTTCTTTAACTTGTCTTTAATTACCTCTTCATGGTCAAACCTTGGTGTTTCTACTCCATCCTCATCCTCCTCAATCTTTCAGCCATCTCAAAAAGCTGATCATACTCCATCTTCTTAAAATGTTGCCTTCCCATTGTTTTCACAATTCCGTACGGTCTTAATTTTCCTACCTCTGTGGTCATTCATTCAGCCTTTCAATGGCTGAACTACCTTCTCTTTCCCTCCATTAGTTTCCAGGCCACTAATGGCCCACTTTTATTTTCCCTCTCTACATCTTTTCCCTATGTTATCTCATCTATTTGTATGCTGCAACTATTTTCTCTGTACAGCTGACTACGAAATCTAACTCTCCACTCCTGAGTTCTCTCTCTCCACCCAATTCTTCATTAGTTCACTGCTCTGACTTTTCTGGTTCCCTTGACATCAACAAAAGCAAAACTTAGCCAAAACCAAATTTTGTCTTCCCTTATAAGCCCTCCATGCTTCTTAACTCTCTCTGTCACAGCAGACTTCATCACCATTATACCTATCACTCAGGCTTGTAACTTGGTTATCAACTTTGACTCTATTCTCTGTCTAGAGCTTCACATCACAGCTATCTAAATCTTGTGGCTCACATACTTAGGGTCTAACTGATCTCCATATGTGGGGTTGAGAGGGAATTTTCTTATCAAATTGGCAGTGACTGTGGAAGGGTGAGGTGTTTGCCTTCCTCTGCAGTGTATGGGTAGAGGTCACTGACAAAAATTATCTGGGTGTATCTGTTCCCTGTCATTATGGGGGGCTTGGGGTACTGATGTACTTCGGTCCCTCCTATTCTCTCCTTGTGGCACTTAATAGTGTCGTTGCTTGTGGGCTGTAATACTTTGGTATAATTTCAGTTGTTGGGTTTAGTGTGCGAGGGTTGAGTGATCATGGTGGCCGGTGATATATAGGAGGTCAGACTAGATCTGACCTTTTTATCTCTGACCCCAATGCTAAAACTCTTAGGTCCTCATCTCCCATTTGATCAATGCCAGCCTTCTCCCTTGCCTTGAACTTGTGAGTATGGTGTAATACGCTAGATTATAATACATTACGTTGATAAATGGGAACTCTGAGATCAGGGAATAAAGTGCTAGATTCCCCACTACACCATTTAAATCAGGTTAATCACCATACCCAAGAGGCCTGGAGATGGCACTGATGAATTTGGTGACTGGACGGTTCTGTTTGAAGCGGGTTTTGGCTGGCTCTGCTCCACAATACCATCTTTCCTTACAATGTTATCCAGTGTAATGTTTCCCGTACACTCAATCTAAAAGATGAAAGAAAGGAGGTTATTGTTAAGACAAAAATAACATGATCAATATAGCCACCTTATCAGACTTTATCTATGGGTAGGTCTACACTTACCCGGTAGTTCGGCGGCGAGCGATCGAACTTCTGGGTTCGACTTATCGCGTCTTGTCTGGACGAGATAAGTCGAACCCGGAAGTGCTCACCGTCGACTGCAGTACTCCAGCTAGACGAGAGGAGTACCGCGGAGTCGACGGGGGAGCCTGTCTGCCGCGTGTGGACCGAGGTAAGTTTGAACTAAGGTACTTCGAACTTCAGCTACATTATTCACGTAGCTGAAGTTGTGTACCTTAGTTCGAATTAGGGGGTTAGTGTAGACCTGGCCTTACTTTGCACTTCCACACCCTCTTTCAACATGTTCTTATTTTATTTAAATGAAATAAGTGAGCAACATGCAAATATATACAATTCAAAGGTTTCAGAGTAGCAGCCGTGTTAGTCTGTATCCGCAAAAAGAAGAACAGGAGTACTTGTG